CAGGCCAATATTAGAGAATTTACGGTATTTTGACTCCTGGATGGTTTATATGTTCATCTTTTCTTGCATTCTGACCTTATGTAGTTTGAGCATCTTAGTAACAATGTTTCTTCCATCGTTCTCAGGAAGTCTCTGTGTACTTAGAAGAATAAACCTTTGTCCTGTTCAGGAAGTATAATGATCATATTTTAAATGCTGAAAATAACATTTTGCAAGAATTTAAATAAACATATCTCATTGAGGCTCATGATTAATAACTGCTTCCACATGTATTTTCAATCCAAAATGAAAGTTCTTTTTCTGTTTGTATTTATCTGATTAGCTTAAATCCCCTGGAACAGATAAAAATGTAATATTTTGTTGATCCTTTGTTGTCCAGAGGCAGCAGAAAATCCAGAGGGATCGGCTCATGAATGACTTCTCTGCAGCTCTCAATAACTTCCAAGCTGTCCAGCGGCGCGCGGCAGAGAAGGAGAGGGAATCGATAGCGAGAGCGAGGGCTGGTTCACGCCTATCAGTAAGTGAGACACAGAAGTAGTTAAACACTTTTCACAGCGCTGCAAGAACAATCTACACCCTATTAAAATCACTTATCATTAATTTGCATATCATAACCAGTGGTGGAACAAAGTACATTTACTTCATTGCTGTACTGGACTGTGCTGTCTTCCTTTTTTGGCTCAGCTTAGCTTTTTAATCCACTGTTGCTGTTTTTCTTTCTTGAAATGCAGTTTCATCATAGCAGATAGCAGCTCTTTAATTAAACCTGGACTCCATTGTTTTACAGATTTAATTCCACAGATGTGAGAAACTCAGAGCAGATATTATTTGTAGTTTATAAATGATATCAAAGCTTTAGTTGTGGCCATGTGACCAAGTTGTTCAGAAGGATGAATTCTCAAAGTCGTGGTTTATTTGTGGTAAAAGCTTTTACAGTGAAAGTTTGAGGAAAATCAAGACTCGCCTGTTTTCTCTTTGGTCTGTTTTTGAATAATAAATGAAGACCAAAATAGATGTCCTTATATTTTTGTGTTTGCATTTCTATGCTGAAGTTCTTTCCAGGTGGTGTAGAATCTATAACAGGCAGTTCTACGCATCAATACATCAGGTGGTATCTGAAAGTTACAGGTTCTTTAAAATTACTCTGAAAATTAGAAAGAAATGTACTGATATTAGAAATTTGATTTATATTTTTGAATACTTTCAAAATTGAGTACTTTAATACTTTATCTTGAGTAGATGTTTGACCAAGTAACTTTTACTTGTAGTTGAGTAAGATTTGACTACGATTATCAATACTTTTAACAATCCTTTAAATACTTCGTCCACCACTGATAGTAACATGCATCCAACATATAGTCCCAGCATCAAAGACTTTAAAGGAAAAGTCTGATCAGCAAGAAATCATCAATGGATCGTTATCTATCCCTAAAATCAGTAATCAGTAAAAAAACAACTAAAAACAATAATTTTCGTTCCAATCACTGAATCTGGGAGCGGCCATTTTTGCCCAAATATAGTAACCCCTCCCTCCTGCCATCTTCCAGCAGTGACGTCACGGTGCGGTAAGCCTAGCNAGGCACAGATGCACCGACTGATGGAATTGAGAGAGAATATCGCAATTTTTAATATTTTTCAAAATAAAACATCTCTCAGACTCTGATCGTCGATAAATTATATATATATGTACTTTTTTCTGTGCAGCCCGGTACCAAATGACGACCCGGTGGTTGGGGACCACTGCTTTAACTCACTGAGACAGAAACTGTGCAAAAATCAGCATGAATGTATATTTATTTATGGTAATAGCTTTTACAGTGAAAGTTATTATAGTTAGGGTCCTTTAGTTTCCCGCCACCTGCTCTGAGTCCAGAGGGCATCCAATCACAGAGCTGGTCTTCCTGATCAGCTGATCCAGCTGCTTCCTCTCAGCTACAGATGAGCCACTGCTTCTCCATTCCAACAGACAGCTCCATAGACGATGGCTGATGCCACAACAGAGTCATAGAAGGTGTTTAGGAGCGCTCCAGAAGACCTCAGTCTCCTCAGCAGGAAGAATCTGCTCTGATCCTTCTTATTCAGAGCCTCAGTGTTGTGAGTCCAGTTTGTTTTTCAGCTGAACACGCAGGTACCAATAAGAGTCCACTATCTCAGTGTCTGTTCCCTGGATGTTCACCGTGTCAGTGAGGAGGATCTGCTTCTATGGAAGTCCACCACTAGCTCCTTGGTTTCCCTGCATTAACCAGGAGGTGGTTCTGCTGACAGTCCTCTGTCTGTCCACGTCCCCACCTGTGAGGAGGCCAACTATGGCAGAATCCTCAGAGAACGTCTGGAAGTGGCAGCGTGGGGAGTTGAAGGACTTGATTTGTCACTGCTGTCGTTTTGTTTCCAGCAGGAAAAAGAGAGCAGAAAGATCCTCCATTTTAACGCATCAAATAATTTATGCTTTAGCTTTTTCAGATTGTTATCATCTCTAGAGAAAAGTCTTATTGTTTTATGCATTTATGAACTGGAAAATGTGATACATCTACTAAAAAATGTCAGCTGTTAGATATAAATAAAGAAAATCGACTTATTTCGGCTCCTGGATGGTTTATATATTCATCTTTTCTTGCATTCTGACCTTATGTAGTTTGAGCATCTTAGTAACAATGTTTCTTCCATCGTTCTCAGGAAGTCTCTGTGTACTTAGAAGAATAAACCTTTGTCCTGTTCAGGAAGTATAATGATCATATTTTAAATGCTGAAAATAACATTTTGCAAGAATTTAAATAAACATATCTCATTGAGGCTCATGATTAATAACTGCTTCCACATGTATTTTCAATCCAAAATGAAAGTTCTTTTTCTGTTTGTATTTATCTGATTAGCTTAAATCCCCTGGAACAGATAAAAATGTAATATTTTGTTGATCCTTTGTTGTCCAGAGGCAGCAGAAAATCCAGAGGGATCGGCTCATGAATGACTTCTCTGCAGCTCTCAATAACTTCCAAGCTGTCCAGCGGCGCGCGGCAGAGAAGGAGAGGGAATCGATAGCGAGAGCGAGGGCTGGTTCACGCCTATCAGTAAGTGAGACACAGAAGTAGTTAAACACTTTTCACAGCGCTGCAAGAACAATCTACACCCTATTAAAATCACTTATCATTAATTTGCATATCATAACCAGTGGTGGAACAAAGTACATTTACTTCATTGCTGTACTGGACTGTGCTGTCTTCCTTTTTTGGCTCAGCTTAGCTTTTTAATCCACTGTTGCTGTTTTTCTTTCTTGAAATGCAGTTTCATCATAGCAGATAGCAGCTCTTTAATTAAACCAGGACTCCATTGTTTTACAGATTTAATTCCACAGATGCAGAGATGGCAAAAGTACTCACTTTCCGT